TTATGTTTTTTATTTCATAAATAATTTGTGATAGCCTATTTTGCGAATTGTTGATAGGCTAATTTATTTTTCTCTATTGTTTAGGTGAAGTGGTAGAACATTATGGCTATGGTAGATGTGTAATACTATAGAATACTGTAAATTTAAAATACCCCCGCCGCAGCAAACCTGCCGACTAAGCGAATTTCCATTTGTCTGAATTATTTTCAGTTAAATATATTTTAATAACGTTAGGTTTAACGAGTACCTAGGTTTGCTGCTATAAGGAACCTAATAAAGTGTGTTTTTGAGTAAAATATTGATAGCTTAGTACAAAATAAATAAATTTGCCAAGTTTGATCAAAATATATCCATAAACAAGCAAACTACAACATTTGACAATATTCTCCATAAGACATGGGAATTTTAAATTTACAATTTTTTAATTTTCTCCGTTACTAATAATCGAACAAAAATACTTTTATATACTAAATTATTTGTTTTTTAAGCTCTTTAAAAAGGTCTAAAGAGAAATTGGGAAATTTTGTGTTTTGAGGGTCAAAAGTGAGAAAAACCAATTTTTACCCCATAAAACCCCCCCTAAAGCCCCGTTTCTATGGTCCGATCATGCTGGTTCGCGAACTCATTCAAGTTTATCTCGCTTTACACCTTTAAACCAAATTTCATCAAAATCGGACCAAAATTACTCAAGTTATCGCGTTCACGGACGTATATATATATATATATATATATATATAAATCTATATATATATATACATATATAAAAATTTGAACGAATGGTGTTTTTGGCCTCTGGGGACATCAAAATGAAAAAGTAAATCGGTCCCGGGTCTAGGTCTTACCGTGCCACCTACGGTAATAGCTACTTCCCTATAGGGAAATTCGCTAAAAGCAAATTTTATCAAACTGTGTCCTCCCTTATTGCAATCGCAAAGTTTGAGTATAACTGCAATAAGCATTTTATACTTATATTCCAACCCCGTACGAAGGACGGGTACTCTGCTAGTAACAAATAAAGGAAAGGTTAGCCTACACAAGATTTAAAATTAATCAAAACCAAAATGGTGGTATCCACTACTTACCAGTTTTAAAAGTAATAACTTAAACGTTTCTGTTAAGGCCATAACAGTTTAATATCGTTTCTAAAAGCGTTGGCGGATGTGTAACTATTATATGCAACAGATGTAAAAATTAATATGTTTCTATCTTGTGTCCTCTTCCCGTTGCAAAGCACGGGTACAACAGCTAGTAACAAATAAAGGAAAGGTTAAGCTGCACTCAATGAATTCAAATGAGCAAACCTTTATAATAATCACAAATGATTTATCAGTCATCATCATTCTCCATTCAAAGATACCACTCTACTGATTTTCTTTCTTGTACCTGTAATAAGATTTATCCTATTAGGTTACATCAGATTTTCAAATTCTATTACTGTATATGTTATAGCAGTAGTTGCAACACAAGTATAACCTTGGTCTTGACCTTTTGTTCAGGTCTGTAGAGCCCGAACAGAGATCAACAAAACAACAATGCGAGCGGCTGACTAGTTGAGATAATTATGGAAGGCAAACAACCCATCAATAGTGTAAAAATCCCACTAAAATAGATTAATCAGTGTGGTGCAAAAATCTTAACTTCTTCGAATCCGACGACATATTACGTGCAATTTGGCCAAATTTTTTAAACATGTTATATTTTTATTCATCTTAGGAAATCGGATTCATATACGATAAAATATATATTTTCAAACCCTATAGAACCGCAAGACTAACCATAACATTTTAACTATGTTGAGAAAAGATTGCTAGCAAGTAAGACTATCTATAAATACTCAGGTTTAGACTTTTGAATCTTCTATTTAGACCAGCTGTAGTCTGTATTCGGTAAAAAAAGAATATGGTTGTTTTAAACTCTTAGAGTATGTAATGTTAGTCTTTTTTATTTATTATTTATTTATTGCCTTCCCAGTAACGATAAACTTAAGTGCGTGTTAAACCTAATTGCGGAAAAAACGTTAATAAAGATATAATCAGACAAAGGGGAATTCACTTAGTCCGCAGGATTGCTGCAGCAGAGATATTTTTATAAGATAGAATATAGTACTGTAAAATTAATTTAAGCACTAATAGGTATAATTAATATAATTTTAAAAACAATTAAAAACTGTACTTCCATGATCAGTTATTTTCTTGTAATGTCACAATCGACAGCAGCTACTCTATATATATATATATACACTCGGAGACAATTCAAACCAATAATCGAATAGTATTTTGGACATTCTTTGAGGAATCAGGTGTGTCACAACAACTCAAAATTCACCTGAGGACTTTGTTTTTTCTGTTCCCTAGGCTCTATATCAACGATTTAGCATTGCTTAGTCATTGTTTAAGGACACTGGTTCAAAGATTTGTTCAAAGACTCGTTCAAGGACTTGTTCATTGAGTCATTCAAGGACTTGTGCTCTCATATCATAATCTCTCCGTTTTCCAATCTAAGAAACTTTAAAAATCAAACGCACCTACTCTAGATAAATATGCATGTACATAAAATGTTTATCAGTCGTTGAAACATTTAAGCTATTTTTTAAGCCTATCATGTTTGAATTGTGGTAATCTATAAATATATATAATACTTAATAATACTAATACTAATAATACTAATACTACTATATACAGGGTGAGTTTTAAATGAGTTCCCCCCCTACGTTTTTCTACATTTCTTAAGATATCAACTCCGGACCACGTCAGATCATTGTACAGTAGTAAGTGCTTCATTTTGACTGGGTATAAATTTTTGGCCGCCATCTTGGATCCGCCATATTGGATACAAAGTTTTTTTTCAAATGTAAAGGTAGGGTTGTGACCCATTGTTTTAAACTAGATTTTTATGCTAAATACGATGCTGCAATTCGTTTTTAAAAATCTTGATCCATTCTAAAGTTATGAGAACATTTATAACATTATTTTTAGCCGATTTTAACATTGTGCATTTAGAAACTAAGAGCATAATAGCAAAATAGTGCTAGATAAAGATTTATGTATATTATGTGGTGTATACTTATCTTTATCTAGCACTATTTTGCGATTATGTTCTTAGTTTCTAAATGCAAAATGTTAAAATGGGCTAAACTAATGTTCTAAAAAGTTCTCATAACTTTAGAATGGATCAAGATTTTTAAAAACGAATTGCAGCATCGTATTTAGCATAAAAATCTAGTTTAAAACAATGGGTCACAACCCTACCTTTACATTTGAAAAAAAACTTTGTATCCAATATGGCGGATCCAAGATGGCGGCCAAAAATTTATACCCAGTCAAAATGAAGCACTTACTACTCTACAATGATCTGACGTGGTCCGGAGTTGATATCTTAAGAAATGTAGAAAAAAGTAGGGGGGGAACTCATTTAAAAATCACCCTGTATAATACTAATAATAATACTAATAATAATACTAATAATACTATATATAATACTTGAAGCCGAATTTGTTAACGCAACTCCTCCCTTAATTTGTGGACCAATGTCAACGTTTAAGGTGTCAAAAGATTTGTCTGAATATGTAGTTTAGCAATAAGGTTTTAGAATTTTAAAATTCCTACTCTTAAAGGCGTGAGACCCTCTCAAAGGTCGGGGTTTCCCCATAAGATTTGTGTAGGTCTTATTGAGTTTGGCATGGGTCAGTATTTGGTCACATTGCACGTAAATGTCGTCGGACTCGAAGGACTTAAGATTTTTGCACCACTCAATTTTAAAATACCACCAAATGGTTTTTTAAGCTAAAGATTTATAGTGACAACTATAAAATATATTAAAAATAAGGGAGGTATCCTTTAGTATACTTTAGTGTGTTGATTATAATCAGACATGAATCACACCAGATCTAGCGTCAGATATTACTATGATAATAAATCTAGTTGTAGTATCCAAACTCAATTACCACACATAGCTAATATTTGTTATTATACTTATTATTATTTTGTTTTTTATTTTCGAAAAATAAATGTTTAATCGTTATTTTCGTGGGCTATTTATTTCTATACTTATATAAGAAAAAGCCAATTATTGTAAATCTTCCCAAAGTACAAAAATTTATTTAATTTGTTCGAACTATTGGATATTTTTATTTATAATAAACACATTTATAATATTAGTAAGATATTTAAGCAAAAACTTTCCCGATTATTTTCGGGTTTTATTTCCCGATAATCGTTGAACAGGTCACCATGAATGATAATCGATTTTCTATCATGACGTCACTTGTTAATATCCATTAATGTTATTGTTATGTATAATGAAATGTCTTGTTTCAGAATACAAGATGTGACGATGTCTTGGGATTTGTTTCATTTGAAGAATTCTCGCAAAGTTCAGTGCCACGTCCATTTCTTGAAACAAGTTGAAGAGTTTTTCAGAGGCCGCGCCATGCAATTTGGCTAACATGAAAGGTTCCTAAATATGAGAATTGTAAAGTGTGTTGCGGCGTAGCGGCAGTATTAATTTTAGAACTTAGTTTATTGTATAAGTTTTGTACCGATAGTTTGTATGTAATAACTGCATTGTATGATAAATTATTCCTTTAAAAAAATGAATTCGTTATTACCCAACCAGTACACGATACATTTTTAGAAAAGGCATTGAAAAATATGCATTTTTAGAAAAGGCATTGAAAAATATGTATGCCTATTTTAAATGTTTATACTTTATAAAATAGTGTTAAAATGTAGAAGGTTGAGTATAAATAGAAATATTTTTAGATTTTTTGTAAAATGTGAAGAAAAAAAAGGAAAACATTTACTGGCAGAAACAATATGATTAAATATAGTTGTCCTTTTGCCTAGCAAAGTAAAAAAATATATATTTGTTATTGTTCTGTTACACTGTTAGGCCTATATAATATTGTTATTCGTCTGAAATAACAATAATTAATGAGGATATATTCTACAAAGAGTAATAGGTGTTTACAGATGATATGGGTTCATTAAATCATTTTATAATCACATTTTGTGTACTTTATATTTATACAAAAGTAAAAGTAAAATTATTCACAATTTTACACATCATAAATAATACAAAACTTCCCATAATGTTTTTTTTTCGTGTAATTATGATCAAAAGATTAATTAGTTTTTAAACTGCGGTTCACATAAACGCTTGAAGGAACTGAACAACATTCGTGGCTCTGCAGTATTATAAGAGAAGCCTTATGGCAATGTAAAATAGCTTTATAACCTGCAAATAAACCAAAAGGAAGACTTTGTCAAAGGCACTTTCCCCGTTTATTTTACGGGTAAGCATAAAGAAAACAGTTATATAATTTACGTGTTTTAGAGTTTTTTTATTTTTTTATTTATGTAAACAAAGAACCCTGATTGTCTAAAGTTAAACAAATTAAAATGGTTAATCATAATTTACATTTACCCAGTCAAAATGTGTTCGTAAAATACTGATAGTCTTCATGTTGTTTTGTAAGAACATAATTTATACAACAGAGCCAATTATAGCATATGCAATAAGCAATAAGACCCAACAAAGATTTAACAGTAGTTTATGTTGCAAAGTAAAACACGTATAAACCTCTACTTTTCTACAGTACTAGCCTAAGCATAATGTCAACTGTCAAGATAAATGGTAAATACTTAAATTACTTTTAATCTCTAGAACCAAACACGGCTTATCACTAGTTATCACAGCTCAGTGCGGGAAGGGCGGGAGATGGTGATCATTGACAGTTCTGTGATGATTGATATCATCATGATGTTCCCAGTCCTCCTTGATCATGTCTGCCGCTTTCTCCCCGATCATGATGGCAGCGATGTTGGTGTTCCCTGAGATACCGTTGGGAGCGATACTCATGTCAGCCACTCGGAGATGTTTGAGTCCGTAAACCTTCAGCCTTGGACTGACCACAGCGTGATCGTCAGACTCCGGTCCCATCTTGCAGGTTCCGCTGGGATGATGAGAAGTGAGAGCGATGTGCTTCAAGGCACACACGAGGTACTCGGGAGTCGGAGGTTTGTGGTCATGACACGCAGGAATGTCCGCGTAGTGTAGCTTAGCACCCAGATCTGTCATTCCTTTAGTCTCTGAGAGCTTAGCTGCAAACGCGATACCGTTCAAGAGCTTTTCAACGTCCTCCTCATGGTTCAGGATGTTCGGAAGGATTTCAACGTCATCTTTCGGGTGAGCACTGTGAAGTTCAACTTTACCTCGGCCTTTCGGACGAAGGAGAGCTGCTGTGATGATTAGAACCGGGGAGTGAGAGTTGACTTTTAAGTAATACTCTTGAATTTCTGGGATGATTCTTCTTGAGTTTAAAAACCCGTGGATTGCAGAAGAGTTCCTTCCGAAAAAGGCAGGTAGGAGCGCGATGTCGGGCCAGTCGTCTTTGTCGGCGTTTATGAATCCAATAGTTCTAACCGGGCCGGAGTGGGAGAGCGGTCCTGTGAAGTGTGTTAGGTACTCAACCAGGTTCTTCGTCATATGAGGATCTTCGTCATGGGCGTGTGGAAAAGAGTAGAAAATTCCAGGGTATTGGATATGGTTTTGAAGATTCTTACCGACTTCTAAAAGACAAATGGGCTCGATAACATGTTTCTGTAAGGCTTCTTGCTCTCCAATACCTGAAAGAAGAAGTAGTTTCGGTGTGTTTATAGCTCCAGCAGCCAATATAACTTCCCTGTTGGCTCTTACTCGAATATGCTCTCCATCGTGTCGAAGAAGTTCCACACCATAAGCTGATTTATTCCGGTTTTGAATCAATATTTGAGTAACCAAAGTATGCTTTGCAATTTTGAGATTAGGTTTTTTCTCTGAAAGAAACGCTTTGGCAGCGCTGCATCTTCTCTTGTGACGAAGAGTGCCTTGAATCACAAACAACCCATCGTGAGCGTCAGCGTTCACATCGGTGTGAGTGTGATAACCCAGCTCGTCCATGGCTTTAGACAAAGCTGCTTCTAAGGTCGACAGACCGTCGTCTCTGATAGATTCTACAGTCAGTGGACCGTCCTTACCGTGATACTTCGCTACTTTAGGATCACTAACGATTTCTTTGGCTCTGATTCCTTCAGACCTTTTAAAGTAAGGAAGAACGTCGTGGTAGCCCCATCCTTCATTTCCTTCCTCCTTCCAATGGTCATAGTCCTTCGGACTCCCTCTGACGTAGTCGTAGTACTGCAGAGTGTTTGAACCACCCAAGACCTTTCCACGTGATATCGCACTCCTCTTGTCTGCCAAACCTTGGAACATGCCGTCCTGAGGGTGTGTCTTGAACTGCCAGTCGATCTCGGTGTCCTGGGAGGCGCCGAAGAGTCCTGGTATCTCAGAGGTCATGGTGGGGTCTCCGCCCGCCTCCACCAGTAGGATGTTCCAGTGAGGATTCTCGGCTAGACGACTCGCCACCACGGAACCTGAGGACCCTCCACCGACTACGATGAAGTCGAAGGCTTCTCCCTTGCCCGGGACATAGCTGTCGTAGTGGGTCTGGTGGGCCAAGTCACATTCTCCCTGATGTATCTCATCATACAGCTGTTTTACAAGGTGGGATCCTACGTCCTTACCTTCGCCAGAGCACGGGCCATGCCTGGAACGTACAAAAACTTGATTAGAACATGTGTTTTGTATTATGAGTCATTTTTTCTTCAATTATAATCACTAGATAATTAGACCAATTCGTATATACCAAGGAAAAAATGTGGTTCGGATTCCACTATAAACTGTAGGTCCCTTAGTTGCCATTAGCTGTTTGGGCTATTAATTAACAGCTGTGTCTAAGGAATGTCGGCCTTAGTCACTAACAAGACTACAAGATCGCGCCACTCATCCTACACTCATCTCCATTCATACTTGGCTTAAAATACCTACATTGTATGGTCGCCATTTCATAAGAAAGTATTAAAAGTATTAAAATATTACAATGGTTGTTGTCTGCCAGTGGTGTAATAATTATTTCTTTCTGTTCTATTTATGTATGATAGTAGTTAAGAAATTAGAATAAGTTACATACAGAAATGTGTCATACAATGATTACAATCAATACGCTTTTTTTCTCCTGGCAGGTGTGATGTAATTGATAACTAGACTCTTAATGTGAGGTCCTTTTGAAAATATTTCTGTGACTTTTCAGCCTATGAACGAAATACAAAATAATATTCACTTAGCGAGAGTGTGGCACGACATTGTTACGATTTATACAACGTCATAGAATGTTGAGGTTTCCACCACACACTAATTTAGATGAATACTATGGTTTTTTAGGGCTTTGTACGAATCTTATTTTAAAGTTTATATAGTTTGACCATTGCATTTATGTGTCAAATTTGTAACTGTATCATGAATGCAGTTTTTAAATCGAAAGGAAGCGTGGTTATTTTCAAGCTGTATACCAAATGTTGCTATAACGTCACTATTTTTATAATACATTGATATAAAAATTGATATCTCCATGATATCATTATGGGTATAACAATGTTCATATTAATATCAAATTTTATATATTCGTGCCAATGCTACAAAAAATATTACTTGAGTAAAATTTAAATTTTTAAATATTTTAAATTTGCCAAACAATTAAAAGCGAATCAATTAAATGTAATTAGTAATGTAATAGTAAATACATATCAATGTACATGAAAATAGAAAGAGCCACGAGTATTTTATCTAGAGTTATTTAACCTCTCGATGTAATTTAAAGCTTACAAAAATCTGTTTTACTTTCTTCAACCGGTGAATTAAATCAAATAAGGGTAATACGAAACAAGAACGTAACCTCACAAATAGTCGTAGGTAAAATTCCACACACAAGAAACCTTCATTATCATAACCAGGTTCCTTTTAGGTTCAGGAAATGTGTTGGAATATCACACCTGGATGTCCGTATATGGCTTAATCAGCCAGTGCCAACATAATCGCTGGATCTGCAATCGCCAATGATATCAAGTCACCTTGGACGTTGTGCTGTACCGTCATAGTCCACCGGTCCCTGTCCACTACATTGCAAGTCCAGTGTTCCGTTCCAAGGTCCAAACAACGCCATTGCCAGTCCGTAATGGCAGCATCATGAAGAATGTAACGTGTTAATGGTAAATAGATGTGACATTGCTTTCCTTGCTGATGGGAAATAAATGTACCTCCATTTGTGCCTGTTCCAATAAAATGTTACGCGAGTGTTACTCACACTGCATTAGGTTGCAGTAGACATTTCAATGTGCATCTGATGTAGAAATAACGCCGTAAACCTCTTATTATTAACAAGATTTCCCAATTTCTCTCTAGATCTTTTTAAGGAGCTTAAAAACAAATAATTCCGTTTTGTTCAAAGTGTTTTTGTATGGTTATTATACGGAGAAAAAAATTTTTGTGTTTATGGATACATTTTTATCATACTTGGCAATTTTATTTATTTTAAACTAAGATATTAAAATTTTACCAAAAACACTCTTTATAAGTTTCCCTGTAACAGCAAACCTAGGTACTCGTTAAACCTTTATTTAAATAGATTTATTGAAAATCAATTCAGGCAAATGGAAATTCGCTTAGACGGCAGGTTTGCTGCGGCGGAGGTATTTTTGTAGCATCGTCGTTTGTTAAATCAAAAGAGCTTAGACCTTCGGATGAACTAACTCAAGCATTACCCAATTTGAAAGACATAGTTTGAAATTGCGTTTGAAAGAATCAATCTGTACAACATTATTTTTAAAACTTTTCCAAGAAATTGTAGCAGTTTTGTTAAAACCACGATGCTTCACTAACTTATGCTGACATTTGTTTTTACTTGGGTTTACTTTTGACAGTGTATTGCAGGCTGGGCTTTAAAGTATAAATAGTTATCAGTAAAGGTTCCAACTGAAGAGCTTATACAAACTTTATATACAACCGTTTTTCCTTAATCAGTTTCTGTACATATTTTATTTGTGTATGTTTTACATTCAACCTGTTTAGCCTACAATAGTTTATATTTTTATAGTATCTTAATCTGTTATAAGTATAAAAAAATTAGAAAGAGGTCACTAACCTCCATTTAAATCAAACAATCTTTAAAAATTATTAAGATCGGCTAGCATTTAAAATTAGAAACAAGATTTTAAAATAATCAAGGTTTAAACAACACCCACTCCTAATATAAATAAGAATATGCTCTATGACCACTTGGGTTTTCTGCCAAGCGACAATAAAAAGAGTATTAAAAGTCTACTGTGATTTAGCGTAATTTAACAAACGTTATGTTAGAATTTCCTTAAACTACCAATCTTTTTACAATATTAATATTTTTCGGTTGTTGTTTAATTAGGGATTCAGTGAAGCAACTAATATAATGGACAGTAGAAGCACTAATGGCTTTATTGCCTGTATCAATTGTAGTACAGCCTTTGATGTAAATTACTAAATTTAAAATAATTAATTATTTAACAACCCTAATTAAACATCTAGTATTACTTTTTTTTATCCGTTTATCTCCCCCTAATATTACATAATGTTAAAACTGTATTACTTAAAGTATAGTGATTCAATTGTTCATTTTCGACGTCTTTGAGAAATAACTAAACTAACTTTAGTTTTTTTTTCGTTGGATGTTACAATATAATGTTTAAGGTATAAATATTATATTAATTCTAGAAGAAAAAGTTAAATTAAATTTCCGCTTTAAGGCAGTTGAAATTGGAAAATCCATATTTAACTGTTAAGAGGTTATTCCCCGGGATTTAATCTCCATTCATTCATTTATCATTTTACGGAGCAGAAAATAACTATTTTTTTATTTATTGTTTATTCATAATATTAGTTATGAATCAAGATTAGGAGTGTTGCCAAGTAAAATATTAAATACCCCGCTGCAGCAAGCCTGCAGACTAAGCGAATTTTCATTTGTCCGAATTCATTTGCAATTAAATCTATTTAAATAACATTAGGTTAAACAAGTACCTAGGTTTTGATGATACAAGGAAACTAATAAAACGTGTTTTAGTAAAATATTAATAGCTTAGCATAAAATAAATAAATTTGCCAAGTTTTATAAAAATATATCCATAAACAAGCAAACTATAACATTTTACAATATTCTCACTAAGAATAACATGTTATTTTTTATTTACAATTTTTCTCTATCACCACTAACCGTACAAAAACACTTTTATGTACTAAATGAATTGTTTTTTGAAGTTCTTTAAAAAGGTCTAAAGATAAATTGGGGAATTTTGTGTTTTGAGGGTAAAAATGAGAAAACCCATTTTTTTACCCATAAAACCCCTCGTAAAACCCCGTTCCCATGGTCCGATCACGCTGGTTCGCAAACTCATTTAACGTTATCCCACCTTACTAACTTTAACCATACACCTTTAAACCAAATTTCATAAAAATCGGACAAAAATTACTCAAGTTCACGGACCATGCCTACGGTAATAGCTACTTCACTATAGGGAAATTCGCTAAAAGAGATTAAGTAGATCCCTTATAAGAAGCATTAGGTTTATAGTTTTACGCGTTTACTTTGTATTATGCGTGTTTATTTTTTACCATAAAAATGTTATATTTTTGCAAGAGAAATTTAAATAGTTTTATGGCACACTGTTAGATACTGTTACTGTTAGACACTGTTCAATGAAATGGCGACCATACATAGTAGGTATTTTAAGCCAAGTATGAATGAAGATGAGTGTAGGATGAGTGGCGCGATCTTGTAGTCTTGTTAGTAAGACCGACATTCCTTAGACACAGCTGTTAATTAATAGCACATACAGCTAATGGCAAGTAAGGGACCTACAGTTTATAGTGGAATCCGAACCACATTTTTCCTTGGTATATACGAATTGGTCTAATTATCAGGATAGTACTGCGGATAGTCGTAGTACTCACCCGTGCGGACGTTAATCCACACCAGGGAGTATCGCACACATGCTTAAGAGCAATCCCCTCAAAATGATGCAGTTATATTTGTACATAGTGTTTCAGATTCCACAACTAAACATTTAACGTACACAGTCAAGCCCAAGCATTTTAGTATGTGATAAGTATACGTTATAACTTACCTTAACTTCACAAAGATTATCTCGTTCGCATGGCTCAATCACGTCCTGGTTGAAGTTTGTTCGCTACGCTCACTCACCTCTTATTTAAATCTCAATAAACGCTGGTTTGTTTACATTATAACATGGCTTTAGAGACTTTGAGAATATATTTCGTCTAATTCAATAACAATGGTTCGAACTATGTCTACGGGATATATTGTGCAAATTAAAACTTAACGTTGATCATAGTCGGAATAAATGTTTGAAATGTGTTAATATGTATGTTTTGAACAATTTGCCGTTCATGGCATGAGGGATTTCTAAGAGGACTCTTTAGTATATATTACACACTTAGAATCGCAAGGAAAGAGGTACTCTTAACCTCAAACTTAGATTTGTCATTATACAACCGATAAATATTACACGTCATAGACTTATTTCTACTATTTATCTCATGACTAGTAGATCAGATGAATCGTTTTGAAATTGCATCCTCTTTAACCAACTATGAATTATTTTAGGTTTAATTGTATTTTAATTTTAAAATTTAACTTTTTCACAGAAAATACTGTCAGTTATTATTTATGTGCAATCAAACGCCCGATTTGTATGACTATTGTTGTTGTTAAACATTTTACAAAAAAAGTTAACTGTTGTACTTGCATTACATGCGCTACAAGTTGTTAAGACAGATTCAAGTTAAGTTGTTAATCCCGGGCTATATAAGTTGGCAAAGGTTTAGGAGTTCATGACTTATATTGTCTTCTGTCAACATTGTGGAGTTTCTGAGGATTATGTTGACAGTTTTGCAAATCAATCGTTCACCATTAAAGCAAGTTCAACTCATAACTGCATTCATTTAGGTAACTCATTAAATTTTTGTAATCAGGTTAAGATGATCATTCAACTAATCCGTTCGTGCAGTTATAGATAGTTTTCGAATATACACATTTATACGGACCATTCATATTTAATTGAATACAATCAACCAACTAGTTGTAAGGCTACTTTGTGTTTTTTTTAATGATGCCAACTACGGTTTTCGGGGTTAAAAAAGTGTTTCTTTTGCTCCAGTTATTTGTGCGTAAAGTGTTGTGTGTGATGTTGTAAATTTAAAAATTATTAAAAACCAACCCCACTTCAAATTGCACAAATAGGGTTTCAGAGAAAATACATGTTTTAACAACAATATGGTTTTTTTTATAAATACTTTCAATGGTTTCAAGAGTGTCATATGTAACAAATGAAGTTTTGCAAAAGAACCGAAAGATCAAGAAATTGATAAACAAATTCCTTTTTTTTATTTATCTGCTTGATTGTTAAAGGTAGATTTTATGAAATCATTTAGTTGAGTTATTGTGAAAGTACAGTATAATATTTTGATACAGTATAACAATACCCTAGAATTTGTTTTCAGTGACGGAAATATCGAATATCTTGTAGTCAAATCAATAACGAAAACATTGAATTAAACTACGCCTAGTTTATAACCGTCATCTTTTCAATAGTTAATTATTATAGTTATTATTGTAAAATATACAGTATATGTTTGAAAAAAGCTTAATTAAACAGTCTAAAACTCTACACGTTACTTGAAAACGATTAAAATACTTTATTTAAAAAACAATTCCAAATAAATGTATTGTGAATTTCAACGCAACCAAAACTATTAGTTGGGATATAGATTAGTTCTTTATTAAATACATGCTGTTTTTAGTATGTATAGGCCTACATTATTGTGTTTATGATGTTATCTATAATGCAATAACTGTGTACTGTGCATAATGTCTGCCATATTGGCACGGCTTTTATTTAATATTAGCCCCAGATAGCTCTCTAGTTAGAGCACTGCAAACAAACCCCAAAATAAATCTCTAGTTAGAGCACTACAATCAGACCCCAAATAACTCTCTAGTTAGAGCACTACTGTACAAACAAACCCCAAATAACACTCTAGTTAGAGCACTACAATCAGACCCCAAATTACTCTCTAGTTAGAGCACTACAATCAGACCACAAATAAATCTCTAGTTAGAGCACTACAATCAGACCACAAATTAGTCTCTAGTTAGGGCACTACAAACAAACACGAAATAAATCTCTAGTTAGAGCACTACAATCAGACCCCAAATTAGTCTCTAGTTAGAGCATTACAAACAAACCCCAAATAACACATTAGTTAGAGCACTACAAACAAACCCCAAAATAAATCTCTAGTTAGAGCACTACAAACAAACCCCAAATAACACCCTAGTTAGAGCACTACAAACAAACCCCAAATAACACCCTAGTTAGAGCACTACAAACAAACCCCAAATAACACCCTAGTTAGAGCACTACAAACAAACCCCAAATAACTCTCTAGAGCACTACAAGCAAACCCCAAATAACTCTCTAGTTAGAGCACTACAAACAAACCCCAAATAACACTCTAGTTAGAGCACTACAAACAAATCCCAAATAACACTCTAGTTAGAGCACTACAAACAAACCCCAAATAACACTCTAGTTAGAGCACTACAAACAAACCCCAAATAACTCTCTAGTTAGAGCACTACAAACAAACCCCAAATAACACTCTAGTTAGAGCACTACAAACAAACACCATATAAATCTCTAGTTAGAGCACTACAAACAAACAAACCCCAAATAACATTCTAGTTAGAGCACTACAAACAAACACCAAATAACACTCTAGTTAGAGCACTACAAACAAACAACAGAATTCGTATTTGAGTTTATTATAATCTATTTTCAACCCAGCCGTAAGCATAACACGTCAGCCTAGTAAAAGATAATTAATTATATTTCGTAGCAAAATTTTATTAACTAAATCAATTGAAATCTTTAATGTTTCGGTAAAAAATAAGTAAACCATTCTACAGTCTTACATTTAACATTTAAAGTTTTTATTCCTTAATTTTCTATTTATTTATTCAGGTATATTCAAATCTTTAAGGATGTATTAGTTAGATACCGTGTTTTGACGGACAGTTGAAATAGGCTAGTTGAGAACAAAAGCAAACAAACATAACCTACCCGTTCACAAGGGACGACAGGAGCAAGGGCCACAGCAGGATCATATCCAGAGAACGAGTGAGACCAGAACCAGGATCAGTGAAAGTTAAACCCTAAGTTCAAGGTTGTCCCAAGGTTTGCAGACTTCCTTCATCCTTCGTTAATTGCCCTTTATTCCCCACACTCGTTCCAGCGCTTTGGGCACTTGTGTCGGTGGTGTAATCAACCAATTTTCGATTGTTCGAGAATAATCATGCAATTACGAAGAAGCGTTAGGTAATTGGAGGTAATTATTAACATACGAGGGTACCCATGCGCAAATGGTGCATTAATAGGGTTTAAAACTTAAATTCAGAAATAAATATGCAATACCCTTGTACTTTTCAAACACTTGTAAATTTGTAATCCGTCCTTACATTTTTTTTATTCCCTTGTGCTCTGCTCCAGTTGCTTTTAAAGGTCTCATGTTATCCTCATGAAGAACATATTTGTTTACAAGATCAGCTGGATAATTTAATTGCTGTTAATATTTTAGTTGCAATTTAAGGAAACATGTGCTACAAACATTTAATGGCTCGGTTGAAATGAAATATGTACTGGGTTGGTGTCAATCCTACTAATCCTACTAATATTATAAATGAGAAAGTTTGGATGTATGGATGGATGTATGGATGTATGGATGTATGTTTGTGACAAGTGAACGCGAAAAATACTGGTCGGATTGGGCTGAAATTTGGCATGATGATAGCTCACATTCCCGATTAACATATAGGCATATTCTTATTTCAAAAATCCTTTCGGGCTCCGCCCCAGTGGCTCTGGAGTTTCCCATGTTAACCTTATGAGAAATGAAATTATTGAATCTTAACAGCTGTTTCAATTAAACAAGTTGGTTCTGTTCTGTGATGTTCAATAGCATTAAAGTTACAAAAATTACCAACAGGGTGCAGCACTATTATTTCTTTTACATTTTATGACAACAGCTAATTTGCAACCAAAAGGTGAGTGAGCGTAGCGAACGAACTTCAACCTGGAGGCGAGTTAGCGTAGCGAACGAGCTAACCTGAAGGCAAGTGAGCGCAGCGAACGAGCTCCAACCTAAAGGTGAGTGAGCGTAGCGAACGAGCTCCAACCTAAAGGTGACTGAGCGTAGCGAACAAACTTCAACCAGGACGTGATTGAGCCATGCGAACGAGATAATCTTGAAAATTAAGAAGTTAAACGGGGCAAAGCCCGCGGGTTACAGCTAGTAATACAATAAATAAACGGTATCAGCATTCTGACACATACTTTCTCCCATAAGTTTGTCAACAACCTTTATCATATGTAAGCGGTGAGAGTAAATATACGGAAATGGGATTAGTACAATTTTGATCAGAATTTAAATGACTATAACATACTAAATTTTATCAAAATCGTTTGGGCCATTTTTGTGAACAATAAGAAAGCGATAAAGCATGGACAATTTGATATACTAAAAATAAAACTGAATTAACACTGTGCTGCATTTCTTGAGCAATCATTGAAAGAGTCGATTTGCAAACTATAGAAACATAGGAAAGTCATAGAACACTACCAACGAGAAGAAATAGAAAATATGTCTTTTCTAGAATTTATATTCGTTATTATGGACAACCTAATGCGGCCATGTTTGGGAAATATTTGTAGAAAACACTTAAAAACAAGATCAGCTTTTGAAAAATTATAGGATGTTTACAAGAAATGTTTATTATATAGGTTATGTAGGTACATCGTGAGATTTCCATAATCTCTTTTTAAAAGTCATCGGAAATTATGCCTGTTATTGTTTTAAAATAACGCCTGTAATACTTCGCAATTGCTCGAATTCGAGCAACAGGTGCACTTGTAAACTTAAGAATGACACCTCAATCGTGAACATTGGTTAAGTAAGACAGCAGAAAAGGGATAGAGAAAGTCGCTACTGTGTTAAGTACTGTACATGTAGATAATTCTAGGAAATCGTCAAATGTTCATTCCTGATTCATGTTGTATCTTAGGGAATAAGCAAAACCAGGCAGTGGGTTGAGACTTCGTGGATTGTAAGCAACTTTTAGTGGTTTGTAATCATCCAGTGTTTTTTAATTAAAATACTAGCTGTAACCCGCGGGCTTTGCCCCGTTTAACTTCTTAATTTTCAAGATTATCTCGTTCGCATGGCTCAATCACGTCCTGGTTGAAGTTTGTTCGCTACGCTCACTCACCTTTAGGTTGGAGATCGTTCGCTACGCTCACTCACCTTTAGGTTGGAGCTCGTTCGCTACGCTCACTCACCTTTAGGTTTGAGCTCGTTCGCTGCGCTCACTTGCCTTCAGGTTAGCTCGTTCGCTACGCTCACTCACCTTTTGGTTGCAAATTAGCTGTTGTCATAAATGTAAAAGAAATAATAGTGCTGCACCCTGTTGGTAATCCTTGTAACTTTAATGCTATTGAACATCATAGAACAGAACCAACTTGTTTAATTGAAACAGCTGTTAAGATTCAATAATTCCATTTCTCACTAGCTGTGTGCCCGTTCTACGCACGGGGATCTTATTGTAGTCAGTTATTGAAACCTTTTTATTAAGAACAGAATTTGGTTTGCATATTTTCAGATATGCTGGCAAAACTATTATATAAATAACTTCTTGATCAGCATTAAGAACAATTTATACACAAAGAATCTCTGGTTCCTGAACTGGATGATGACTAGTTATTTAATTTCATTTACACGGTTACACTAATACACTATATTATTGCACTTTCGATTAATTAAATCCGTTATGTAAGAAAAACGTTTTTAATCACTTGGGATTTACATTCAAAATGTGATTGAAAAAGGTTGCGGTATTTGTAAACAACATTTGTAAACATATCAGTGACAGCTAGGAAAAATAATCTTGATCCGAACAGCTGTTCATTATTTCATAGATGATTATGCAATAAAAATTGGACGAAAACTTGACATAAATCGCACAAAACTACATTTTTGAACGTTCGTAATATTATTTACAAAGTAGTGAGGCCATATTTTAATGGCTAAAGACAATCTCGCCAATCCAGTGAATACATTAAAATGACTTGGATCTTGATAGGTACTCTCGTTTTCCAGGAGAAGATAGCGTAAAATAACAATTTGAGTGTTACAGGCAAAGGGAAAGACAGACAGACAGACAGACAGACAGAAATTGAGATAAGACTCGTTTCTGCTTATTTAATGTATAAGACGTAAAAATAACCTAAACATATATAATTCTGAGCAATGTACAGACAAAACTCTAATTTTATTTATATAGATAAGGTTAACATGGGAAACTCCAGAGCCACTGGGGCGGAGCCCGAAAGGATTTTTGAAATAAGAATATGCCTATATGTTAATCGGGAATGTGAGCTATCATCATGCCAAATTTCAGCCCAATCCGACCAGTATTTTTCGAGTTTACTTTTCCCATACACACATACACACATACAGCAACCACCTCTTTTTTATAATATTATAGATAATCATGTGATTACGAAGAAGCGTTAGGTAATTTAAGGTTATTAACGTATTATTCCCGGAAAATGTCAATATTGTACTACTGGTTCAGCTTTAACTTTGGGTATTTAAAAAAAATCACAATAACGATTAATCGACGTTCCATGCAATAATTTTAACAGTGAATTATACGTTAATACAGTAAATTACAATGTAATTGTTGAAACTACTGTATTTTAATAATCTATGCTACATGGATATTACATTTTTGCTTACTATTTGAGAATATTGCATCTATGCTTAACGATGATTACATTTGCACTCCATAATAATAAATTATTTCATTAGTTTGTTGTTTCTTAATGATCAATTTGAATTTCATTTTCAGTAATAATCGATCTTAAAGTAAAATAAACTAAAATGTAAAATAATGAATTTCAATCGTACACGCGAAGTAGAACGAGATGGAGACTATATTTTCAGGTGAATAGGGCCTAATTAGGACGCCTGTGCGCTGGCATGAATAATTAAACAGGATCGGATTCCGGTTTTAATCATGCTTTAACAATCTTTTGGAAATTATTTTTAATCTATTTTGTTAAGCTCAACGCAATAATTTTACACGTAATGTTTAATTTTCAGCATGATATAAATCGTTTGTATGAGTTGTATCACCTTTTTGTTTTTTGTTGATTTAGTGCTAATTTTTATGAAAACATGTATCTTTAAGTTATATATGTATGTATGGATGTTATACAGGGTGATCAACTCAAGGAGGCCACCATTGGGATATCGGAAACGGTAAGAATTAGAGAAAACTTTAAATGGGGGACATTCCTTTATTTTTTGTGGCAGTTAAAAATATGATTTCATTTTTTTGAAATTCAGCCGCCATTTTCCAAAATGGCGGCCAACTTTGAAAGTTCTTATGGAACACCCTATATTTTATCACGTTTTCGGATAGAACAGGCAATTTAAAAACTTTTTTATTCTTGACATTTTTTCGATAAACCCACTCGTTTAGGAGTTACAGCCTATGGAAAAACTACTTCCGGTGTACATTTTACATCATGTAGCTCCTAAACAAGTAGGTTTATAGCGAAAATGCGAAGAGTAAATCAGGGGTGCCCACAAGGGGGGGCTGTGACGCAGACTGCGTCATTGAAATTCTTGGGGGGGGGGCTCAAAAAACTCAAATGGGGGGGGGGGGGGGTGAATAAAGTTAGTTGCAACAGTGTTCAACGTGACGACTATATTACGAAGTCGCCAGATAGAAAGTCGATTAATGACAATAGTTATATTAATGAATTCAATTAGTTAAAATAGGATTTTAGGATAGTTTAGGATTCGAGTATGAAATTATTATTCAAGATTAGCAAGATGTGAGATATAAGAGGGAGGGCACGGGATGGCTCAACTACTGTGATAGATACAGATGACAAACCCATTAAAACGTTGTAAACAGCCATTAACGTCACGATTTGCATTTTTATAAACGAAATTCAATATTGCACAATCATTATTATTGTGCAATAACATTATTATTGTACATTTCAAATAATTTATCTTGGTTCAGTTGTACAAACGGCAACGTTTAAAATTATAGCTAATCCAAACTCAATTAATAACCATGCCAAACACTGGATTGCTATAAATAACGT